CTGCAAAATATTCTCGATTTTAAGACGTAATAAAAACATATGTCTTGCTGATCGATTACACTTAAACGCATATGTTTTCCTGAAAATTGGCTAGCGTAATGCCTAAATACAGGACATTTTCCTGAGCCGTCCAAAGTTGAAGCAAATTAAACATAATTTTAGATCCTATAACCTGCAACACCAAATTTTTGCTCTTTATGGTGGTCACTGAAATTATTGTTGCTTCTTAGGCGATCCATGCTTATATATTTTTCGGCACTTATGACTTTAGCTAGGCTGCTGTTGCACTTTTGAATTCGACATTCGGCAAACCATGGGAGATGAAGAGTTTAGCGTGGGTGATGCGGGAGCTTCCATGGGAACCCCCATTCAGTGTGGAGCTATCAAGAAGAATGCCTACGTTATCATAAAAGAAAAGCCGTGCAAAATTGTCGAGGTGTCGGCTTCGAAAACAGGCAAGCATGGCTCCGCGAAGATCAACTATGTCGGAATTGATATCTTTTCTGGCAAGCGCCTGGAGGAGTGTCGCCCTTCTGGTCATACTGTGATCTCTCCCACTGTAACAAGAACTGAATGCCAGCTGGTTTCTATCGATCCCGATGGTTTTCTTGAACTTCTAATGGCTGATAATACGACTCGCTCAGATATACATGGTAGCGACATGCTGGATACTCTGAAGGAGAAGTTCGAAAATCTTGGAGACAATGAAGACCTTTTGGTAAGTCGTCGTGTTCGCATAACTCTTTCTAGGTGACCTACATCTCTGCCATGGGTCAGGAGAAGGTTGTCGAGTGTCGAATTAATACGAACAAATAAACGACTGTTAGATATATTCGTACTCGAACTGGTACTTGTTATGCTGATTTGGGGCCCTGGTTTGTGGTTGTGTGGGCTGTAAGTGTAATTTCTGAAAGTAATATTTGTCAGTTCCAAATTTAATGCTGCTACCTCTGATCCCGGCTTTTATTGTTCGGATGCGGTGTAATCTTTGCTACTTTTGTTAACGCTCTTTTGAATCAATGCACTGGTATGCTTTAGATGTTAGTATTGGCGTTTGTATACTTTGCGACATTTGGTTGTCTAATGTTTGCTACTAGCGTTTGAAAGGAATACCGATGCGTCTCCTTGATGTGGCTGCGTCTTATGGTTCAGTCACCTCCCTGGGTTATGCGTTGTTTGATGTCCTTCCGGTATCGCGGCCGCGTTTCTGTTCACTGGGGAACGTCTGGGTGATGGCTGGATCGGCTTTGATCAAGTGCTGGTGGCGTTTTGGGTGCTGCTCTTTATGGCTGTATGGTTACAAGACGTGTCACGTCGCTGTTCCATACGATCTGTCTTTATTTCTCCCTGCGTTGAGTTCTGGTCGTTGCGACCTAGTCTGAGCTGTAAGATACTTAGTTTTATTCCGGTGATTGGTGTTTCGGCTTGCAATTTACCGGTGTCGCTCCTAGTTCTCGTAAATAGTTGGCAGTGGGCGCTACTTGCTGGGGCATGTCGAGTTTGCCGTAAGTGCACGTGTTTCGATCGTGTTCGTGTGTCGCCTTTGCACACGACCTCCTCGTACACTAACTAGAATTAGGGTGTCGGTGTGCTTGCAGTTGTTGATGTTTGTGGGTGCCCTCCACTGATATAGCTTGGGTATGGGGTGGGTCGGTTGATAGGTGAATTCAATGCTGAGCATTGGCAGCACTTAAGGCTTTGTCGAAACTGGCTGATGGGGTATGGGGAATGAACAGGCGACGGACGGAGTGTTGATTCGTAGAGCTAATTGGATTTCAACCTTGAGTCAATGATTCCGAGTCATTTGTGCTGACTTCAAATGGAAATCTGGTGCAAACTTCGGTATGTAGGGTGTGAGTCGAGATGTGTGAAGTGGTCACGGCGGCAGCGTATTGGTTAAAAATCGTTGCAACTGGGCTTAATGGATGGGTCGACACAGGTCTTGGAATTGGTCAAAAATGTAGTCGATGATGATCACAAGACTTTTCTCCTCTCTTGCATAGGATGCGTTTGTGTACTAAGCCGACAGCGTAGGGTGTGCATAGCTGTTAAAGTCACGCAAAATTTATCACTTCCACCCCTTATCTCTTGTTTACCTTCGTTATGAATGGCTGACTCGCGACTAAAGGCTTCAAACAGTGATAAATTTTGCATCGAAATTGGGGAAAGAGAGCGTTTACTATATATTGTCCATTACCACAGAATGCAGCAAATCGCGGCAACGAGGCCGGGGGGGGAGGCGAGGACAAGTTGACTTTGGTTTAATTTAATGCATTACCTAGAGGTCCCAAACTTGGCGTCTAAGCTTTGATAGGTGCTTGTACTCCACTATCAAATCTTCAATATAATGTAAGACCTATTGTGCAGTGATACCATCATTTACGCTTTTGTCATCAGCTTCATAAGGCTGGAGAGAATTACCTTCCGAAGTCCAATGCGTTGGTGCTCCATCAGCATGGGCCTATTTGTCTCTCTGCTTCAGAAGTTCCCCAGACTGCAGACATTTTGGTAGTGTGCCACTAGCTAGAATCTGTTCGAGGCTGGAGAAACTAATTAGGCTTCCTCAGATCATTCCGCAGACTTATGTGGTCGTCAAACTAGGTGTCACTTTCACCAAGAAGGTACCATTTGTTTAAAAATTGGTAGCTTTGTTTCCTCAATAGTCTCAAACATTAGAGGCTTCCTGAGGTGTTGGTATGGCGTATGACGAGGGCTGGGTGGCGGAACACATTAACGGACAGGAGATGACCTATATAATCTAGCCCTGTTGATACGTCGTCACTTTATGGTGCCTCCAACTCATGAGGATAGTGTGAAGGATGATGGCGGCTCGTCAATAAATTCCATATCTGTCTATGCATTTGAGAAAAGTCATGGCATCCGCTTGGGTGTCATCCACTTTATTACACTACTTTCTCGTGTTTTTCAGGTCTGTCTCCTATATTGGTCCGCCTGATGCCTTTTATTATTGGTTAACACTACTGTTCACCTTTCTTTCGCCCCAGCAACGTGTGCCACTTTATCGTCATGATACAGACCGTGCGTCATACTTCAGTGGGTTCATAATTGAACTTCAGACAATAGGACCTTAAAGTACAAAACGTCACCTCAACAAACCTAGCCCACAAACGGACTCAAGCGTAGTCTAAGATGCGGAACTGGAGAAGGGTGATACCTCAGTTTACCCCTTTCTATATTTGGCATTTGATAGCAATAGTCCTGACGATGAATAAGTAGTGTGATGCAGAATATGGGTGGTTGGTTTTGGAGACGAAGAATTGCGCCTAAGACCTAGTTTCTCAACATCGGTAGACCTTAAGCTCAACCTCAGAGAGGGAGGAGAACTCTTCCATTTGATGACAACTAATTTTAAAACTCCCTTCACTACTACATCTGCAGAATCTGACTTAATTCGCCGGCGATGCAGCCTTTACCAAAATTGTGAATTTTCCTTGACCAGAAAAGGATTCTGCACGTCGTTATAGCACTCGCCGGATCAACATTTTTCGGTCGGTCTTTGCGTAGGGAGAATTACGTTGAAGCACTACACCAAACGCACGTGAATAAAAGTACGACCTAAATCAAATGCCCTTGAATGGGATGTATACCTACGGTCAAAATAAATAATTGCTTCCCGTTCCTAGAAGCCTGGCTTATTAGCTTGGTCAAGTAGAAATTAATTCTTGGTCTGAAATACTTGTACTGGTGTTCTTCAGATATGGTTACGTTTCTGGAGAGTCTGAACATGTGAGCAGTCATGCAGCACGACCTAGTCTCAGTGAAGTCGTCAGCCGCTAGGAAGTACGTATATACATCCTCCTTTTGAGTCTTCTTCTTAGCGCTCATTTACTGTAACACTGCCAATGAAGTAAAGGCTGTAGACGCGCACACACTCCCTAAAAATGAGTTTTCTCATAAAGGAGGCTCGTTCGTCAGCCGCTGGTGCAGCATCTCCT